CTAACTTGGGACAAATTCAGCCCTAAGGTCAGAGGAAAGTTAAGTTGGGAAACACTCCATGCTTTGTAGCACTTTTGGCTGCAGCTATCTCTGTTGCCCTGCTCTTGCTTCCAGCATTTGTGTTGGTGTTTCCACTTTTCTGGTCTTCATCTGCACTGTATTGACTGCTTCTACAGAGCATTCAGCTCCTGCGTTTAATGGCATATTAAAGATAAAAGACAGAAGGAGCCAGAACACAAGCCTGCACTTCATTAGAGTTGTGACCCACCAGCTGAACTGAGGTCATTACTCTCTATAGATCATAGAAAAAGACCCAGTCTTTTCCCTGTCCATTCTCAGCCGTCCTGAAGACCCCATTTCTTCCGAGGTTATCTCAGCCCCTATGACTGTTTCTTCACCCAGCAAGCCTCAATAAAAGCATTCCCCCTTGAGTTTTCACTGCCCTTTTGTTCCAGAGATCACCACACCCACTAAATTCTGTTCTCCATGGACCTCACAGTCCATGGAGATCAGGAACTCCAAGGCATCTATGGGTCTGTATTCACCTCCACCTCTGCCACAAAGGGACCCTAAGCAAAAAGCCTGCAGAAATAGCCCACTACAGATAGAAGCTGAGAAACCATCTATGCAACCACTGCAGAGACTGAGAAAACTGCCTCCAGACCCAAGGCAACCTTTCTTTTGTTTGAAGAAAAAAGACGTAGTGGGCATGGTGGTGAGAGGTTGACAGTTGAACTAGATGGCCCTTAGTGGTCTTTACCAATCTTGATGATTCTCTAATTCTATAAGGCTGAGACAAGGATAACCTACAGAGATTCAGAGTAAGCTTCTGACCTCCTCCATAGCTTGCCAGAGCACTCCCTCCATTTGGCTGTAGGCTAATCCTGCCACAATCACCTTGTTCACAAGCATCACCACTATGTTTGCTTCATTCCTCAGTCCCTTCAGCTTTCTGTGTTTCACAGCTCAAATTCAGCCTTTTCCATTCCCCAGTCTTTGGCTGATTCAATTCCTCATCCTTCCAAGTCACAAAGTTGAGTTTCAGTTAGCAGCCGTTCAATACATTCCCAGTAATGCAGTATTTTCTCCTCCAACCATAATGACAGCAAGATGCAAACACATCCTGCTTCCCTTTCTGAAAGCATCACCTCCACTTTCTAGAGCCCATCAGACACATCCTTTCATGCCTTTCTGACACGCTGATCGACAAGGTTTTCCTCTGTCTCTCTAACAGAGCCAATTGCTCTAATTACATGCTGTCTGCTGTGACTGAGGAGCTGTAAATAAAGCAGTCACGGCACTGTCTCATCCATGCCACCCTCCAAAGCAGCCCTTGCAGCCTTTGCTTGTGGTGGTCCACTGTGAGATTAATTTTAGCTAAAATGACTTTTAAGAAGGAGATCACAGTTTTGCAAGGACTCACCTATTTGAGACCTAGCAGAAAATTCACTGAAGCCAGATGGAGTAGCTTCCATTTAACTAAAGCTTTCATCAGGTCACCTCCATCCCCTACAGGATCAAATCAGGGCAGAAATTAATAGGTTTCTACAGGAATTATCCTCAAAATGGTACAAAGATATCCTAGCTATAGGACCCTCTGGGATGTTCTGTGCAGCCCACAGGCAGGAAGCCTGAGCTCGACATTTGAAAATTTTCCTACGGGAATTATTAGAGGAGGTACCAGTTGCGAGCAACAGCAGGACACTGTTCTTTGAATTCAGCTTGGGAAGATCTGTGCTGGATCAGTGTTGCATCTCTGTTAAATGCAGGGCAGGAGTACCCTTACCAGCCAGCAATGGGCTTTGTCTGAACAGCAAAACTAGCAAATGCATTTCCAGGTGTCACAAAGTCCCTGGTAACACCAGTGAGACAGGGTACACTCGATTCCACTGTCTAGCTCTACAAGGCAGTGGTGCAGGACCGAATCCCCTTTTCCTAAGCTCACTTATTTAGGGAGGACTTCTTGCAGCCACAGAGCAAGCACTGTAGGGGGTTTGCATCTATTCTAAGGCAAGGTTTAAAATTAAAAACTTTCTTTTAGTGCTTTGCTCTTGTGTTGAGACAGATCAACAGAGAGCAATGCATTGAGCTTGGGCCACAAGTCATTAAAACAGTTTTTTTCCTCTAGAAAGAAAAGCTTTGTCACATTAGCTTAAAAGTGGGGGTGAATGGGCTCATGCAGACATCCAAGGCTGCATCACTGCAGCACAGTTCCAGGTAACCCACTAACCTGACCTATGACAGTGGAATAATACCAGCTCTCAGGCACTCATTTACATCAGCAGATCTAAGGAAACCTGAACACTGGTTGTGTCTGTGTTCACAACCACCATGAGAATAGGGGGAGAGCAGCGAGAGCAATTCCTGAAGATAGCTTTGGAACACCAGGTTTTGATCAGTACCATTCTACAATGGGAAACACCATTCAAAGGCTGCTGAAATTCAGTGGAGCCATTACACAGACTTCAAGGGGTTTTGCAGCAGAAAGCTACACAGTGTTGTAACTTTTACTACAATAGTTTTGAAACACAGACAGAGCCTTACGTGCTTTACTTGCTGTACACATCCTCACATATTTAAGAGGATAAAATGACCCGTTGCTGGCTGTTCCCTGTGGTGTCCCTGCAGCAGCTTTCCAATGCCATACATTTGGCTGTGAGTGGTGAGAAGGATCTTGCAAAAGGCCAGTTTGTAAAGTGCCTTGCGAAGGTTCAGGGTTCATCAGTACTGTGTGCAGTGTATTGCTCAAACCATTCAAACAAGGCCATCTGCAAGGCTAGCAGGGGAGACTAAGCCAACTCTATTGTGAGTAGAGCTTCCAGCAATGCTGGTGCAAAGTGACACGCAGGACATCCAGCACAGGAGCAATGGGAGCTTATCATAGTGCATTTCCTTGCTAAGACTAGGGCAAAGCAAAACCTACATTCTGGTGCTCATCTCTTTAGCTAAACCATACTCTATGAAGGGTCAATTCTGATGTCAGTGGAACAAAGACAGCATTGAACATGGGAAGCAGCAGCAAAAAAAAAAAAAAGGAGGCAGGAAAGCCAGCAGAATCTGTAACCAGCTAGTCAGACCATGCCCTTGGAAGTGGAGACACAGCTACATTGCCTGCTCCAAAAATCACTTTATGCATCTTTAATGGCTTATAAATAAACCAGCAGAACTGAAATTCTGCTCCGTTGTCTCCCAGGCCTGCCTGAAGCACTGGCTTCACTCAACTTCACACTTTTCACCTCAGTAGCAAAAAATCAGACCCGTGGCTTCCAGCCAGTGAGTGCAAGACCTCCAGAGCTACCACCACAGTACTGATCCAGCTGGAGATGCCACCAACCCCAGAGGAAAAGAGGGATGTGAGGAGCACAGCTTTGCTCCCCATCACACTTCTATTAAGATGTCTCATTTAAGGATGTGAAGAGTAAATAGGACATGAATTAAGTGCTTTCACCAGCCCAATGCCAAGAATAAATTAATGAGTACAGCACTGCAAATGAGTAATATACAGCATTCCAACTGAAGCTAAGTCCATATTCTGATGAATAAAATAATAAGCTAAAAATGCCTAATTCTTAAATCAATACAAAATTCACTCCCTGCTACTACTGCATAAACTGTAACTCTTTGGTTGAATCTTAAATATTACATGAAAGTGAATGGGAAATTCAGTTTCACTGAGAACACTCTCCCCTTTCTCAAGCTTCACGTTCACAAGCACTGGGATTGGGACCTCCCTGGAAGAAAGCAGAAGAACAGCTGAGTGTGGCAAGGTAAAACTCAGAGCAAGGGGTTTACCTGGTCACCCTCCAGGTCAAGCTTGCTACAACCAGCACAATCCTTTCCCACCATTTCCAGAGCTTTGGCTTATACCCAGGACAGGTTTGTGCATCAGTGTGGGCACAGGAAGCATTAGGTCACCAGGTGCATTTATTCTGGCCTTCAAACCTGGCTCTGGAACAACCTCACAGCACATTTTCTTGGTCAGGTTTAACCCAGTAAGCAGCCAGCTCTTAGAAAACCATGAACTTTTGACCAAGAGAAGCGTTTTAGAGGAAAATCATCCCAAACAAAGAGACTCCTCAAGATTATGCCTGGTTCATCAGGTGGCTACCCATCTCCTGGGCAGAAAAACCTCTCATTTATGTCCTGCAGTCCCTCTGATCACTCAGAACATAGCACAACGTAAAACAAGAACAGATCCACTGCACAGAGGATGCAGTCAGTAAAATGGAAATTGCACAGATGCAGGCTGAATTGAAGCAGCAGTGTTTGCTACCCATAAATATAAGCATCCACCAACATGCAGACAGCACTGCTCTGTTGGCTTCTGCAGCATTATGAAGAGCACCCAAACCACCAGGAAGGATAAATCCCAATTCCTTCTCATGGCTTTGCTGTAAACAGATGTTTTTCTTGTAATTAATTAAGCAGAAATGTCTCTTGGTCCCCAAAAACCCAAATAAGCGAACAGAGGCAATAAGGAGAAAACTATTCCTTGCAATATAAAGGAGACATTGAAGACACAATAATTTGGTTTCTGGCCATACTTGATTCTCCACTGTCTGTAAATAGACCTTGTTCAATTAAACTGAACTACTCAACTCAGATGAGATGAGTACTGCTTCTGTCAGAACAGTGGCCTGGTTTAGAAATATGCTTGCACACACAACATCTCTCAGCCAGGCCACAGCTACAGGCTCCCAGAAACAGCCAGCTTTTCCTCTGACAATAACTCTGCCCATGAAAACAGTGCTTCTTCCAGGCACGTCCCCAGCTAGGAGCAACCACAGAGCAAAGCCTTAAAATAGACACAGATGTAGGACACAATCTATTTCCCAAGGCAAACTAGGCACAAAATACCATGACCAATATTAAAATATACATATACACGTAGTAAACTGGAAGGAAGGAAGCAGGTTAGATACATCAGGGGCAAAACAAGACCTGGTGCAGGCACTGCTCAGTAGCACAAGGTCACATTCAGGACACAAAGAGGGACATACCATGCAAAGCCCCTCCTAAGTAGGGGAAAACTTCCCTGCTCTCCTACACGTATCCCAGGAGGCAGCCAAGTGAGGTTCTCCCACTCTGGTGCTAATTAGATAAAGCTAAGCTAATTAGCAAAAGCTGGTGTTCAAGTCAAAGGGGAACCCAGAGGATTGCAGAAGAGGAAATCCTGGTATCTCTGCAGACTGATGAATTCTGTTGTCCCAAGCAGCTACACCATTTCTGTGCCTGTTTATATTACTTAGGTTAGCCTGATGGAGCAACTAGGAAGCAGGTAGGACATATAGGAGAGAGGAATCCTTAATGGTTACAGCTGCTGCAGTGTCAGCTCGTGTGGCTATGGAGGTACAGGACCATGCCTAGTAAGCCCTGAAGGATGGACAGCAGTTGTACAAGTCCTTCTGTGTGCGTTATCTCAAGATAGTTTTATTCAAGTAGTACACTGCCAGTCTGCATTAATGCTACAATGTTAATATCTAGGAAAGCCAATCTGACTAAATACCATGCTGCTCTAATGAGCAATTTTTTCTGTATTCACCAGCAGTAAGATTTCTGTTGTTGAAATGCAGTTCTCCATAATTAGCACCCACTCATCGTGCCACTGGTGTCTGAAGGCAAAAATAATACGGGAAGCCTGAAAGTTAGAAGTGCACTTTGGGTGATATTTGTATTAGGGATAAAGATGCTCTATAGCCCCTTTTAGCATAAAGAAGGGAGAATTAAAGATATCTTAAAAAGGACAGGGAGATTCTCAGCAGAGTATACACTAGGCTGAAAATGCAGCTATCCCTTGAAAGATGTGTCTGTAGATGGTTGTAATGTCAGAGTACATCCTCTGCTGTCAGCTGGGTTTCCCCTCTGAGCCAAGAGATCCCTGTGGCTGGATGGAAGAGGCTTTGCAGAGCGGGTTGCCTCCAGCCCTGCCCTGCTTCTTGCTGACCCACATTAGCCTTTCGTGCCCTCCCTGCCTTCTGTCACCGAGTAGAGGTACAGAAAATTAAAGCCAAAATCACTATCATTTATTTTTCTAGTATTTTAAGAGGTTTTTTTCTTTCTTTCTTGAGACATTCAAAAACAGCAGCTACAACGTGATAGAACAATTTGTGGGCCAGGAAGCATATATTCAACAATTTAGACATCCTTTCCCCCAGATCCCTGACTAATTAACCACTAAAAAGCTCAGGCTGAGAGAAATTATTATGTAACCAAATTACATGTTGCAAATTACTAAGGGAAAAAATGGATCTAAGATGCTCTTTATGCTTTCCAAATTTTTAGCTTTGAAACCTCCGTGCTCTGTAAGTGGTGTGGGGAAATAACAAGCTCTGCAGTCAGACATTTCAGGTATCAAGGGAGCAGCTCCTTCTGATAAGTGCAGAAGGCAGCACAGCTTTGCAGGGCTTGGGCCAGCCCAGAGTCCTGTTTTTACTACCACAAGCCAGGTGGTGAAGGGGACCGGTATGTTTGCTAAAGTATTTGGCTATCAGCACAAATCCACAGATAATGCACTGAAAACATCAGCTAGCTATTTTTGGTGACTTTGGCACTTGTCCTATTAAAAATCTTCATCCAGTGCCATGCAACCTCAACAGCATCCCTATCTGAAGCCTAACAAACCAGTGGTGGATTAGACATGAGCTCTCTGCCCAGCTCCAAGCATGTGTAAGATGTTAGCTTACAGAAGCCATGAGTTCCAGCTGACAGATGACACAGCAGGACATGCTAAGTCCAATTTCCATTTAGGCCCTGATCTCCAACATGCTAAGACCAGCTGAGTCACCATCTGTACAGGAGGGAAAACAGTGGCTTTGGGTAATGACATTAAATATTTTCCAAATAAAATCTTACTGTATTGCAGGCTAATCTCACTTTCCCTGATAAAGTCCCAGTACCAGAAAATCTCAGTCTTCTGGCCTTAAGTTGTGCCAGGGGAGATTCAGGCTGGGTATTAGGAAAAATTTCCTCTGCAAAAGAGTGGTCAAATAATAGAACAAGCTGCTCAGAGCAGTGGTGGAGTCACGATTCCTGGAGGTGTTCAGGAATCACAGAGATGTGGCACTGAGGGATATGGTTTAGTGAGCATGCTGGGGATGAGGTGGTGGCTGCACCAGATGATCTGAAAAGCCTTTTCCAACCTTTATCATTCTATGATTCTATGATTCTGTTCCCACTGAAAATCCTCTTCTGAAGGTCAACATTGTAAAATAGACAAAGGGGTAAATTACCACCAAAAATCAAATCACCTTCTTGCTTTCCACATCCAAAAATACCAAAAACCAAGCTCCAGCATATGACTTCCTTCCTATGAGAAGTGATGGGGAGAGGTAGAGGAGAAGAAGGGTCTGAGCGAGGCAGTGATGGCACGGCTCACCCTGTGGCCAGAGCTGAGACAAAGTGTGATCACCTGCAGTCAAAAGAAGCCATAGAGGAAGGGTGAAACATTGCATTTTTCTGCCTCTCACCCTTTCTGCAGTTGTCTTGCATTTGAAACCAATGTCCTTGAGTGCCTCCACTGTGCAAACATGTTTTGGCCTGGTTTTCTCCTTACTCATGTCTCTCATTTAGCAGGCATTATGTTAGTACATTCATAAAATGTATTTATAACTCTATTTATGTATACATCAGGCTATGCACAATGCCACCATTCAAATGCTATTTTTTTTTTTTTTTTAAATAATGCAGTCTCTTTCAGTATCTTGCTAGATCTTCTGCTATTCTGTGATAACCGCTGACCTCCATGAAATCTCACACCAGTGGGGCTATGGAAGATGCACACAACTCTCCTGGCAGGACTAAGAAAAGCACAGTGATTGCCAAAATATTGTCCTTTCCTTTACTAAAGCAAAATAGGGGGAAAAGGCTGCTTGTGAGTCTGCTTCTAGTAGGCATTTGAACCCAAGCAGGCTCCAGATTTGAAAAATCATGAAAAAGGATTACTTCCCAGGAATGTAACAGCACTGCTCACTTGTAACATTCACTCTCTGCCTTTGCTGAGCTTGAGGAGTTGGTTCTTCATTCTGGTCGGCAGGAACTTTGTGCCCTGAAGTTGCACATCCTCATTCTAAATGCTCAAGATGCTGGAGTCAGGCCCCTGGCAAACAGAACGAGACATTTGTGGAGGCATTTGTGCCTGGGAGCATGTCTGTTTTCCCTATCAATATTAGCTGGTCGATCACAAGTTGTTATCTTTCCTTACCAGTTCTCCTCATGTGTCCTCAGGCCAGCACAGCTGTAATGCTGCTATGACTCTGGCAAATAGCTCTGACAGCCAAGTTTGTACACATGAGGTGTTAATAATGACATCAAGATTGTGCTGAAGGGGAAGGAAGAATAACAGCGTTTCCTCATCTGTGCATGATTTTTCAGCCCTCACTGAACTGAAATGGGGAGGTTGGTGGCCCTGCCTGTGGCAGGGGGATTGGAGATTAATGATCCTTGAGGTCCCTTCCAACCCGGGCCAATCTGTGATTCTGTGAACTTGCTGTAAAACTTCACAGAATTATATTCTGATTGCATCACTCAGTGGCAGACCTTCACCAGTCTTTGGTCTGATCAAAACTCACACATCATTTACAGAATCATGGAATTATTAAGGTTGGGAAAAACCACTAAGATCATCTACCCAACCATCAACCCCTCACCACCACGTCCACTGAGCCATGTCCCCATTTCTTTCCCAGCCCTTTCTTCTTCCACATTGTGCCTTCATTTGCTAAATAAAAGTGAGCTGGAAATCTTTTTCTTTTTTTTTTTTATTTTATTTCAGCTACTGAATAACTAAAATCCTTTTCTTACTCAGCTTCCAAATGCCAGCAAATCCCTACAACAAACCATGTGCAACCTGAGCTGATAGAGGCAGAGTTGGCCATATGGGAAAAGAGATCACAGCACAGACCTGCCTGTGGGGAACTAATGGAGTCTGGAGAATTAAAAAAACACTTATTTTTTAGAAGACTAATAGCCTTCATTCCCCATCACTGTCCTCACACCATTATGCAGTGTCTGTGATGAGGACCAGGAGCTATATGTAGAAGCAAAGAACATCCAGTGTACCAAGCAGTGAGCATAAAAACCTAAAAATAAATGCACCATCCTGAGAACAAGAAATCTGGATCCTCTTAGGAGAGAGGCAAGAGCAGTGTTTACTGCAAAGCAATAGTGGCGCTTGCAAATGCAAATGTATGTGTGTGAATCTGAAAAAGCAACAGACTGCAGGAGCAACACGAGTGCGTGGGATGCAACGCAGCATTAGCTATATCTGCTCCAGGTTTTTTTTAAGGATATAGAAAGAAGTGAGTTAGTAATGCCAAGAGAATTGAGCACGCTAGGCTTTCTCACTACAAGGAATGTCTCTTGCTTGGGTGTTAGAAAGAAAGAAACAATCATAAAATGAATTCATTTATTCTTCAACTTCAAGTCGATGGCTGCCATTCTCTATCGACTTCTTTTGGTGAACATCTTTTCATCAGCCTGGAAAGACTTGCCCATGTCCTAAAAAGCAAGGTGGGAATTTCAAGAGCTCTCTGAAGGCTCTGCTGTGCTTATTAGAAGGAGAGACGGAGTATTAGCTATTGTTGCTGATCCAGGTGAGATACCATTACACCCCATTTCGCTCTGCCCTGCAGTGCCATGAGGACACGAGAGCTTCACCTGTCTCCATAAAACAATACTCTTAGTATGTTTTTAAGTCTGCGGTGTTCAAAACACGTTCAAACTGTTTTGTTTTGTCAAACAGATGAGTCTGATTCTCAAGTCACAGCTTCCAAAGGTAAATGCTCTTAAAAATGTAATCTGCTACTCTTGTGCACATCTTGGACCTGAAATGTAAGAAAACACAAGCACTTGCACAGAAGCACACTATCCATTAATTTCAGCACACATATTAATACTCCTAAATATGTGAATTGCTATTAATTCTAGGCATCCCAGCGGCATCTTATACTCCTATATGCTGAATGCTGAGCAAACTATGGTCTTGCCCCAAAGACAAGAGTCAGACACCAGAGGAGAAATGGGGAATTCATGCCACTGTAATGTAATTGGGACCATTTGCTATTTCAGTTGTCTGCACCTTAGAGGAAGGATCTCTCTTACTATGTCTCTGTAGAGTAGCAAGTTCAGCTATGCCTTGACTTTGACTGATGTTATACCCTCATTATGATAACAATAAGCCAGAAATCTGAACAAGCTCACCTGGCATCCATGCCTTTCTGAGAGGTGGACAAAAGAATCAAGCACTGCCTTGCTGGAAACTCGTTAGCAATTGATTTACTTAGGAGGGGGCTGCATTGCTCATGCCAGATGGATTGCCTTTAACCAGTCACTGACCAGCCATGGCTTCCACAGGGGATGTCCTCCCACTGTTTTCAATAGGACCTACAAAAGCCTTGAATTTTTGACTAGCAGGGAATTTCACAAGAGTTCCCAAATGGCATATGTACATTTTTAATCTGGATCTCCTTTATTATCATTCAGAATATACTATCCAGACAGCTGGGCCTTTTTGATGTCCCCCAGTTCTGCTTTCTATAGATGTGTTCATTATTTGCATGCTGTCACTGAGCACTTAATACTCCCTCTCCCATGGAGCTATGGCTAATTGTTAGCTGGGAATACGTACACTATTCATTAGCTGCTGTGGAACAGAACAATTAACTCACATGGTGTCGTCTCCTTCAACTGATGATAAGAATAACCAGCAGCAGATTATGAATAAGAAATATCCCTATTGCAGGGCCTGTCCTACAAATGAAGAGAAGCTTTGCTTCCAGCACACAAGGATGGTCCACCCAGCACTCAGCTGGAACTCAATCAAGCCCTTGCGAGTGCTGGTTTATCCCACTGTCCTAAACAATTCATTTTAAAACACAGAAGTTGTCAAAGAAAGATTGAAAGGAGAACAGTGAAATCATTTCCAGCTTTGAGCCAGAGAGCAGAGGGAATAAAGAAAAGTTTCTATGAACTTTTGTTCTTGTGCATGGTACAGAAGAGAGGGATAGGGTCAGGCTGCCTGGGTTGCTCATGCTGCATCTGGTTTTGGGAGAGGTGTGTAGCTCAGAGTACCCCACTTAACTTCCCCATCTGTTTATTAAGTTGGTCAGAATTGTAATCTGTATGAGAATCATAGAATCATTAAGCTGGAAAAGACCTTCCAGATCATTCCCAGGAATCATACAAAATGAGAAGCTGTTTATTTCAAATACATGAAACAAAAGGACGTGTAAAGGCTTCTT